GGGAGACGAACCCGTGGTTACCGTGACAACAGTGATCGCGATGACCACGCAGAGACCTGGCGAGAACGAGATCGTCAAGAGGATCGTCATGGAGACCGACAACGCAGTCCGCCGCCCTCGCCCAGGAAGAGACGGGGCACGTGGGACAACGAGCTGGAGCAGCGCCCCCCTAAACCCCCCGCCCCTCCTCCCCCTCCTGGCCAGAGCCCCCGGGGGCGGGACTACGATGACGAACTCCTGAGCAACCTTTTGGAGCGCAAGACCAGACGGGGCGGGGCCAGTGACAGTAGGGGTGATAGGGGCAGGGGAGGGGGGCGGAGCGAAGAGGACACGCCCTCAGACACACCCTCAAAGGGTTCCAAGGGCTCTAAGAAGAGCAGCGGCGGTGGCGGTGAGCGTCACCATAGCCGTTGGCCTAGCAACAGAGAGGTGGAGTTGGTATTAGACTCAAGGGGAGAGGACTCTCTACCCCCGTACTGCCAGACTGCGTTAGAGCGGTTCAGAGCCGCTGAGCGCCCCTCCCCCTCCCCCCATTCCTCCCGCCCCTCCAACGGAGGCTCCACCCATAGCCACGCCCTTACCCTACAGCAGGAGAGCGGAGAGGAGCGGGACAAGCCCCGGAAAGTGGTGAGCTACATATAGGGTACACTCAGTATGGGTTAACTTCATCCACAGTAGAAATATACTAGAGAGATACTGTACTATAGTTGAGACTATTTATTTAGGGTAAAGATAACCCTTTGCTCAAACAATACTGTAGCTGAGGCTGCTTAAAGGGATACTTCAGGATTTTGGCAATCAAGCCCTTTATCTACTTCCCCAGAGTCAGATTAACTTGTGGATACCATTTTTATGTCTCCGTGTGCAGTTTGAAGGAAGTTCCTAACTAGCTTTAGCGCAATTGCTGTACGTCTATGGTAACTGCTAGCATGCTAGTAGATACCATAGACTTCCAGTCATTGCGCTAACGCTAGTTAGCATTGGTTTGCAAAACTACCCCTAACTTCCTTCATACTGGATGCAGACATAAAATTGGTATCCATGAGTTCATCAGACTCTGGGGAAGTAGATAAAGGGATTGATTGCCAACATCCCGAAGTACCCCTTTAAGGTAAGACAAGAGATAAGCTAATACCCATCTTTCTCAGGTATGGAGGCTCACCTTAACAGATATACTGTGACTCAGGTGAGAAAGGAATCAGTTTTAGAAGTTATTGCACCTGTGCCTCTTAGCCAGAGAATTAAGCATTATCATACCATAATAAGAAAAGCTGGAAACTATCGTCAAGATCTGAACCTGAACGACTTCACTTACCTTTTTTATCGTTCCATTCTGCAGATTTGTTTGACTTTTTCTTATTTCCTGTGTTTGTTTTTCTAATCTGATGCTTTACAACTGCTTTTTTATGGACTTTTATGGATGTAACTCAATTGATCTGTAATCAGTTACAATTAAAAGGCACAGGTGATTAGATATCAGATTTGTTCAACTTAACATCTTGACTACCACTACTACTACTTGGCTAATACCAGTGTTGTGTTCAGCCTTCTAACAGATGTTTTACCTCAGTTGAAATGGCAGAGCTAGGTGGAATCTCTTTGTAACCTTTGTGACCCCAACGTGACCCCAGAACCTGGCCTCACTTATCCTTCTTATTCTGCCTGCTTGCTGCCCCACTCCCAACTAACTAACAGAGCTTGGCTTGCTGCCCCACTCCCAACTAACTAACAGAGCTTGGCTTGCTGCCCCACTACCAACTAACTAACAGAGCTTGGCTTGCTGCCCCACTCCCAACTAACTAACAGAGCTTGGCTTGCTGCCCCACTACCAACTAACTAACAGAGCTTGGCTTGCTGCCCCACTCCCAACTAACTAACAGAGCTTGGCTTGCTGCCCCACTACCAACTAACTAACAGAGCTTGGCTTGCTGCCCCACTCCCAACTAACTAACAGAGCTTGGCTTGCTGCCCCACTACCAACTAACTAACAGAGCTTGGCTTGCTGCCCCACTACCAACTAACTAACAGAGCTTGGCTTGCTGCCCCACTCTCAACTAACTAACAGAGCTTGGCTTGCTGCCCCACTACCAACTAACTAACAGAGCTTGGCTTGCTGCCCCACTCCCAACTAACTAACAGAGCTTGGCTTGCTGCCCCACTACCAACTAACTAACAGAGCTTGGCTTGCTGCCCCTCTACCAACTAACTAACAGAGCTTGGCTTGCTGCCCCTCTACCAACTAACTAACAGAGCTTGGCTTGCTGCCCCTCTACCAACTAACTAACAGAGCTTGGCTTGGCTTGCTGCCCCATTACCAACTAACTAACAGAGCTTGGCTTGCTGCCCCACTCCCAACTAACTAACAGAGCTTGGCTTGCTGCCCCACTCCCAACTAACTAACAGAGCTTGGCTTGCTGCCCCACTCCCAACTACCTAACAGAGCTTGGCTTGCTGCCCCACTCCCAACTAACTAACAGAGCTTGGCTTGCTGCCCCACTCCCAACTAACTAACAGAGCTTGGCTTGCTGCCCCACTCCCAACTACCTAACAGAGCTTGGCTTGCTGCCCCACTACCAACTAACTAACAGAGCTTGGCTTGCTGCCCCTCTACCAACCAACTAACAGAGCTTGGCTGAGACGAGAGGGGTCTTTTCACTGCTACACTGGCCTAAATGAGCACAAAGCACAGCTTGCATTATGGCTTTACACTTTGCACACACGTGACTAACGTGAAGCTCTCCTTGCTGTTTTCTTTTAACAGAGCACTCTTCTTAGCAGAGACTCTCTCATAGTTTGATGCCTGGAGAGGACAGACACAGACACTGGGAAAGATACTGGGGATCATCCTCTACTCCCCATCACCCCATACTGGGGAGTAGAGAGGAGAGGTGCTCAGACCACACTGGGCAAGCAGAGAGCAGCATGGAGAGGTCAGTGACCTTGCATCCAGCAGCAGAGGGAACGGCTACCTCTGAGTGACAGGCAGTACATCCACTGGACTGACCATGGTACAGGACTTGGGATAGTCAGATCAGGCATCAGATAAACATGGATCACCATGACCTTAGAAGAAGAGTAATGTTCAGAGCTGGGGCAAAGACCTCTGGATGCACAGGACACACAGCACTGTGTGTGAGTGAGTGAGTGAGTGTGTGTATTGGTGTGCGAAAGTGGTATGTGTGAGGGAAAAGTATGGTGCTTATTCCAGTCTGCTCTTTTGTGTGTGAGAGTGAATAGTTTCTCCATCTCCTTGTCCTCTCCATTGTATTGTTCTGTCTCACTGCCTCTCACTAACAACACACACTGAATGATGATGTCATCCCCGAGTTTCTGTCACTGCCACCTCTACACAGTGCACGCTCAGGGCATGCTCTTCTCTGTGACGTCGCTGAATGATGATGTCACTCTGGAGTTTCTATTCACCACCACCACCACCACTGCCCAGTCACGGTGGAAGGCTGACGTTGAGCCAACGTTTGGATTCCGTTGTGTGAATGGTGTGGATCCCCCATACCATTGTGTCTTTCAGTGCCATTGTAAAGCACCTCTTATTAACCCCATTGCTTGGCCTTGACTCTGTGGATAGAGGACACAGTGTTTCTTAATCATTGTGTTTGATACAATGATACAATATTGGTTATACCAAGTAAGTTCACTACTAACAGAGCCAGTGAGAGAAACTGGAACTTTATGGGCGGCAGGTAGCCTAGCGGTTAACAGCGTTGGGCCAGTAACCGAAAGGTCAGTGGTTCGAATTCCCGAGCCGACTAGGTGAAAAATATCTGTCTGTGCCCTTGAGCAAGGCACTTAACCCTAATTGCTCCTGTAAGTGGCTCTGGATAAGAGCGTCTGCTAAATGACTAAAATGTCAATGTACTGGGTTGTGATTATGCGCCATCTATCCTTTGAGGACTGTATTTGTTATGTAATAGTTTTATACCCAGGTTATCAACTCTGCCTGTCTGGGTGTTAAGTCATGTTGTGATTACACTGCAGTAAATGACTGTGCCAGTGTAACAGCAAGCACTTGTGGGTACGTCTGTGTGTGTTTTAGATAAGATAACGAAGGTGTGTGTAGGAGCCAATCATGTTTGCCAATACTGTGTATTTAGTTGTATTTTATTTTGATTAATTCAGTACTTTTCTTATCAACGTTGTGTAAACCGCTAAACACACAACTTCATCTTCCACTCATTAGCACACACACACACACACACACACACACACACACACACGCACACATGTACTGTCAACTTACCACAGCTTTCTCTTTCTTATGCCTGTAAAACTTGTAGCAGGATTCGTTGCAGTCGTTAATGTTTAGTGTTGTTTTTTTCCCCAGTTCTTTCATTGTATTGTTCATTGCTTTTGTGCTTTTCTATGTTATTGTATTTCTATGCTTGTTCTATGTCATTGTGTTCCTGTGTTACATTTATCTGTGTGTGTCTGATGATAGCAGCCCCCCTCCCATGTCTGTCAATGACACGTTGTTTCACAGCCCCGCTCCCTGTCTGTCAATGAGACGTTGTTTCACTGAGTATAAGTCATAGGCAACGGGCAACAATGGCTTTGTTTATTATGATCATTACGTACTGACTGTTACTCTAAGAGATCTGGTAATCACACACACACACACACACACACACACAGTCTCAAAACAGACAGTATCTTGGGAAGTGCATGTTGGTGAACACTAAACACACACACACACACTTTAGTTGTATTTCTCCTTTAGGTTACCTTGTTAAAATAACTTGTTCCATAACTGGGGCTTTTTGCAATAACACCTGCCGTCCATTCCAAACCATTTTCGAATGAACTATTTATTATTTAACTCCAGAGATGCAGTCTAACCACAGCATTTACCTCAAACACTGTTGACCAAACAGCTTCAATCTCATTCAATAAAGTCAACTTAATCTACACATCTCTTCTTCACTGTCCTTCATTCAGTTTGTAAGGACCTTTTGTCACCCTTTAAGTGCTATGTCTTTATGGTAGTAAAGTATGTCTTATAAACTATTGTAGCAAAGTATGTCTTATCAACTGTGGTAGGTCTTATAAACAATTTGTGAAGAAACAATGTAGTTATTATGAAGACTATATGAATGCTCTATAAAGTCTTAATATAAGTGGGTCTGAGGCGCTGGCCGTTTTCCGCCCAGCGACTCATGATGTGGCTTGGGGTTGGGAGGTTGGGGAGGGGCTGACTGCTCAGCTCAGGGTTGTATGTGAGGAATGTGGTTGAGTAACTCCTTCCTAGGCCTGAGAGCCTCAGAGCTTACACACACACTAGCCTGAGGGTAGTGATGACATCACTTCTCTGAGAAGATAACAACAACTCTGTCAGCTAGATAACAACAACTCTGTCAGCTAGATAACAACAACTCTGTCAGCTAGATAGCAACAACTCTGTCAGCTAGATAGCAACAACTCTGTCAGCTAGATAACAACAACTCTGTCAGCTAGATAACAACAACTCTGTCAGCTAGATAACAACAACTCTGTCAGCTAGATAGCAACAACTCTGTCAGCTAGATAACAACAACTCTGTCAGCTAGATAACAACAACTATGTCAGCTAGATAACAACAACTATGTCAGCTACATTTACATTTACATTTTAGTCATTTAGCAGACGCTCTTATCCAGAGCGACTTACAGTTAGTGCATACATAGTGCATACCCCCTGTGGGAATCGAACCCACAACCCTGGCGTTGCAAACGCCATGCTCTATCAACTGAGCTACATCCCTGCCGGCCATTCCCTCCCCTACCCTGGACGATGCTGGGCCAATTGCGCGCCGCCCCATGGGTCTCCCGGTCGCGGCCGGCTACGACAGAGAGAGCTAGATAACAACAACTATGTCAGCTAGATAACAACAACTCTGTCAGCTAGATAACAACAACTATGTCAGCTAGATAACAACTCTCTGCTATCAACTATAGGGCCTACTGTTGTACACTATATGACATACAAGAAGTCTTCAAGACGTAAAGACGTAAACTTCAGTTTAGCTCCGTGTTGTCACACCCGTAGCACACAAGGGGTCTGGTTCCCGGACACAGAAGCAGCATGCTTTTAGTCTAGGACTAAGCATAAACTGGTTCCGGGAAACTGGCCCAAGAAGTCAAACCGCTTCAGACGTTTTATTGCCATTACAAATAATAACATCTGGTCCATATTGGAAACCCGGGGACAGGATACAACTGAGGACTGAGTAGGAAAGATAGAGCAGCTGTTGTCATCCTCTGTGGATGAGAGTACAATAGCAGGAAACCACTGGAGGTAAGGCTGGGCATGTGCAGAGTAGAGTGGGTGGGCTAATGGGAGAGAAACAATCTGTTAAGGAATTCCTGGTTCCACATCCCTTACCTACAGAGACAGAGACACAGACGTGTGCAAGCATGCACACACAAAAACACACACACAAACACACGGATCAACCGAACGTCAAATGGCTGACGTTCAAAGGAGACGAGCCCCGCTTGGCCCGAGGCTCCTCATGTCAAGTGAAGAAATTCAATGAAGCGACACACTCACACACTCTTCCATTTGTGGTCAGTGTCTATGAGTACTAACGTGTGCTGTAGTGAAAGTGGTTGGTTGGCCTGGGTGAGAGACTGGGGGTGCCTCCCAAATTGAACCCTATTCCCTATTTAGTGCACTACTTTTGACCAGGGCAAACAGCACCCTATTCCCTTCATAGTAAACTATTTTTGACCAGAGCCCAAAAAGTAGTGCACTACATAGGGAATATAGGATGCCATTTTGGAGGCACCCTGGCTCCGCCCTGAGACCTGTTGTCTCCTCAGAGTTGAACAAGTAGCATGTCGGTTGCCAGCTGGGGGGGACCAGTGGGCAGCTGGCTCTGCCCTGAGACCTGTTGTCTCCTCAGAGTTGAACAAGCAGCCTGTCGGTTGCCAGCTGGGGGGGGACCAGGGGGCAGCTGGCTCTGCCCTGAGACCTGTTGTCTCCTCAGAGTTGAACAAGCAGCCTGTTGGTCGCCAGCTGCGGGGGACCGCTGGCTCTGCCCTGAGACCTGTTGTCTCCTCAGAGTTGAACAAGTAGCATGTCGGTTGCCAGCTGGGGGGGGACCAGGGGGCAGCTGGCTCTGCCCTGAGACCTGTTGTCTCCTCAGAGTTGAACAAATAGCATGTTGGTTGCCAGCTGGCGGGGATCATCAGGCCGCTGGCTCTACCCTGAGACCTGTTGTCTCCTCAGAGTTGAACAAGCAGCCTGTTGGTCGCCAGCTGCGGGGGACCGCTGGCTCTGCCCTGAGACCTGTTAGCCCCAGGCCTGTGGGGCTCTATGGGCTTTACATTCACATGGTAATGTTCTGGGGCTGCAGGCTTTGTCCATTGGGAAACTGTGTTCACAGGGCTCTAAAACACTATTAAGAGGTCTACACAAGACAGTGCCAAATAAGACACAAAACAGAGGGGGAGAGAGGGGGGGGGGGGGGGGATTATGGGGGGGGGATTATTTCAATGAAATTAATCAACTAGTATTATAGTGTGGACTGAATTGATTCCCACCCTGGTCTAAAACCGTCACAAAGTCAGCAACGTTTGTGTAAGCATAGGGCCTAGGCTACTGGTGACATCCAGTGGTTTCATACTAGACTTACAGTCCCCTGGATCACTTCACCTGTTGTAGGCTAGTGAATTTGCCTTTTAAAATTAAATTCATCTAACATTAAAAATGAATGTTTTGAATGAATGTATTCAAAATGAAGTAAAACATTTCACTGTAGGCTAATTATTGCGTAACAATATCATGTGACAAAATAAGACCCCAAATTCACATAAAATAAGCAGAATATTAATAGATGTATTAAAGTAATTATGTAAATATCGAATCATTAACATATTACCGATTTACCGTTGCTTTCATTCTGTATTCTCATAGCGGCATTTTTAATTCAAACTGTGCCCATTCTGCGGTAGGAAGCACCTGTCTACGTCACATAAAGCACCTGTTTCGGGGTGGGGTCTGTCTGTCTCTACAGGCATCAAACCAAATTCCCGAAAGGTGTCGGACAAGGAAGGAGCTATCTTTAAGTCAAGCCACAAGGAGGACAGACAGAACAATGAGGAGTCTGTTTAGGAGGATAATGTAGATCTTTCTTTTGTTTTGTAGATCATTAATTGGACGAGATAATATTTATTAGTTTAATGGATCAATCATCAACGATGAGGGGGTTGATACTGGCCGCGTTCGTTCTCTCTTCCCTACCGGCAGGTGAGTTTTTGTTGATGAAAAATAGCAATTCATATTTGAATTGTTAAATGTTGTCAATTCGTCCTGTTCTTGCATTACAGCTTCTATATGGTGTTGATTTCATTTCCTACATTTTCCTTATTTAGTCGAGTCAAAAGTTGATGCTATTGTAATGAATCCATCCACAACCAAAACAGTTCCAGTGACTAGCCAGTTAGGCACGAGCCGGGGTATCGGTCACATGATGGACAGATACCTGATGAGGTTTCACCAATGACACGCACTGTAGTCCTATCAAGTTACAGATCCTCATCCCTATCTAGATTTAGCCCTACTCATCATGAAAATGCAATTCACCTTTTAGAGCAAAACACCTGTTGGTTTGGCTCTAGCTGGGGGGACTCGGGAGACATGGAATGGGTGTTAGTTATGCTGACATTTCACTTCAATGGTTGTAATTATTATTATAATTATAATTATGGAGGGCATACAAGGACATTGACATAGAGCTAGACAGTTACAAGAGTAGCCTGACTAGCCTAAATGGCAACCTGGTCTCAGAACATTTCCTATTATTCTGTATGTAAACCAAGACACTCCATTTAGTGTGATATATTATGTTTGGTATAGTTACATAAGACTGAGTGTTACTTAAGGCAAAAACGAAAGTAGGGTGGTTGGTTGGGGTAGATGAGTTGGCGTATAACGCAAAGGTCTAACTCTAGCAACCCAAAGGTTACTATTCATCACTACCAATTAGCGTTTTAGCTAATTAGGAACTTTTCAACGACTTGCTACTTTGCATCTACTTAGCATGTTAGCTAACCCTAACCTTAACCCTACACCTAACATTAACCATTTTAGCTAACCCTTCCCCTAACACTACCCTTAACCCGTTAAGCTAACTCCTAAACTTAACCCTAACCCCTAGCCTAACATACTAAATGGAGCGTCTCGGATTTACATACAGAATAATACAAAATGCTTTGAGACCAGGTTGTAAATGGTGATCTATTGCCTATATGTCCCTCAACTCAACTATGGACCTCAAAGCCAGTTCCACTGCATTTTTCATTGTTCCCTTCTAATCAGGGAGTGATGTAGACCTGGAACATCAGGTGGGTGCAATTCATTATCAGGTAGAACAGAAAAACAGGGCAGGGCTCTCCAAAACTGTCCCTGGAGAGATACTGTCCTGTAGGTTATCGCTCCAACCCTAATCTAGCACACCTGATTCTAATAGTTAGCTGGTTGATAAGATGAACCAGGTTAGTTACAACTGGGGTTGGAGCGAAAACATACAGGAGGGTAGCTCTCCAGGAACAGGGTTGGAGACTCTTTTGGTAGGGTAAGAGTTGAATACTCCTGACCAATACTGTAGAGCAGGGCTGCCCAACCCTCTTCCTGGAGATCTACTGTCCTGTAGGTTTTCAGTCCAACCCTCTTCCTGGAGATCTACCGTCCTGTAGGTTTTCAGTCCAACCCTAATTTAGCATATCTGATTCAGCTAGTTAAGGTCTTGTTGACTGGGGGCGGCAGGTAGCTTAGTGGTTAAGAGCGTTGTGCCAGTAACCGAAAGGTCGCTGGTTCTAATCCCCGAGCCGACTAGGTGAAAAATCTGTCGATGTGCCCTTGAGCAAGGCACTTAACCCTAACTGCTCCTGTAAGTTGCTCTGGATAAGAGCGTCTGCTAAATGACTAAAATGTAAATGTTGAGCAGCTAATAAGTAGAATCAGGGGTGTTAAATTAGGGTTGGACTGAAAACCCACAGGACGGTAGATGTACAGGAAGAGGGTTGGGCAGCCCTGCTGTAGAGGTATTTTTACATTCAAAATGGAAGTTGGGTCTATTTGAATTGCTGTGTGACCAGTAGCATCAAACTGTTTCCTGTGGCTGGCAGTCTCTTTCTTTCAGTCACTAGTTTTTCTGGTTGAACCACTTTCAGCAGGGCTCTGTCACACACATGTACACATACTCTCTATAGAGCTCTGTCACACACATGTACACATACTCTCTATAGAGCTCTGTCACACACATGTACACATACTCTCTATAGAGCTCTGTCACACACATGTACACATACTCTCTATAGAGCTCTGTCACACACATGTACACATACACTATCTCAAATTCAATATGCTTTAACCCAATGAGTCCCACTGTAACGCCAGCACATTTTGGACTTATAACCCATTTAGTCACAGCTAGAGCAGTGTTTGTGAGACAAAGGCAGCCCGAATGGTTTGAGCTACAAACTATTAAAGCTATCTATGAAAAGCTGAGACTCTCAGGAACACGCACGTGACATGTTTTGCTTTCTGACGCTCAGAAGCTACAGAAGAGTCTTTAGAAGGTAAGTGGTTCTTCTACATAGATCATAGGAAATCCCAGGACATAGTGTCTGTAATAAGCTCATATAGTTGCTGTCACAAACTCCAAACACTTGTCACTGACTAGTTGAATATTCATATCCCAGTGAGCAAACCATTTTTGTATTTACAGCATTCATATGAATTCATTTCATCAGGTTTTTGCTTTGGCTGACCTTATTTTCTATTGATATTTGTCAATAAAACTCATAAATGCAACTGTTTAGGTCAAATAGTTTTGTGTTCTATGTGTAGCCCTGGTTGTCCTGAAAATAAAATGCTGAAACACTTCATTGTGAGACTAAACATAAAGGCTGGACATGCAGATACAGTTGAAGTCGGAAGTGTACAAACACTTAGGTTGGAGTCATTAAAACTTGGTTTTCAACCACTCCACAAATTTCTTGTTAACAAACTATAGATTTGGCAAGTCTGTTAGGACATCTACTTTGTGCATGACACAAGTAATTCTTCCAACAATTGTTTACAGACAGATTATTTCACAAATAATTCACTGTATCACAATTCCAGTGGGTCAGAAGTTTACATACACAAAGTTGACTGTGCCTTTTAAACAGCTAGAAAATTCCAGAAAATGATGTCATGGCTTTAGAAGCTTTTGATAGGCTAATTGACATCATTTGAGTCAATTGGAGGTGTACCTGTGAATGTATTTCAAGGCCTACCTTCAAACTCAGTGCCTCTTTTGCTTGACATCATGAGAAAATCAAAAGAAATCAGCCAAGACCTCAGAAAAAGTAAATGGTAGACCTCCACAAGTCTGGTTCATCCTTGGGAGCAATTTCCAAACGCCTGAAGGTACCACGTTCATCTGTACAAACAATAGTACGCAAGTATAAACACCATGGGACCACGCAGCCGTCATACCGCTCATCTCCTAGAGATGAACGTACTTTGGTGCGAATCAATCCCAGAACATCATGAGGAAGGAAAATGATGTGGATATATATTGAAGCAACATCTCAAGACATCAGTCAGAAAGTTAAAGTTTGGTCACAAATGGGTCTTCCAAATGGACAATGACCCCAAGCATACTTCCAAAGTTGTGGCAAAATGGCTTAAGGACAACAAAGTCAAGGTATTGGAGTGGCCATCACAAAGCCCTGACCTCAATCCTATAGAAAATGTGTGGGCAGAACTGAAAAAGCGTGTGCGAGCAAGGAGGCCTACAAACCTGACTCAGTTACACCAGCTCTGTCAGGAGGAATGGGCCAAAATTCACCCAACTTATTGTGGGAAGCTTGTGGAAGGCTAACCGAAACGTTTGACCCAAGTTAAACAATTTAAAGGCAATGCTACCAAATACTAATTGAGTGTGTGTAAACTTCTGACCCACTGGGAATGTAATGAAAAAAAAAAAAAAGCTGAAATAAATAATTCTCTCTACTATTATTCTGACATTTCAGATTCTTAAAATAAAGTGGTGATCCTAACTGACCTAAGAAACTGAGTTTAAATGTATTTGGCTAAAGTGTATGTAAACTTCCGACTTCAACTGTAAATGAAAGTCAGATAAATGAAAAGCCGATTTTTGCTGTGGTCTCGGGACTGATAGGGTTAATGGCATGAAAGACCAGGTCAATGTTGCCAAAGTGAGGTTATACACAACAATTATGAAAACAACCATGACAACAATAAGAACAGTAGCTATGATACAGATAATAATACTCTCTCTCATACACACACACACTAGGCCTGGGAATTACTAGAGACCTCACGATACGATATGTATTGTGATTTGATACTGTGATTTGATGTTCCAACATATTGCTCACTATATGTCTCCTGCAGAGAGACAAGTGAGAATGAGTTTTGATCAGTCATAGAAATAACAGTGCCGAAAACAAGTTGGCTCACTATTTAAAAATAAAATGGAGAACAAGCTATAGGATGAAAAATACTGGAGTTTTGGCGCAGGTACAGCCAACTAGCACTAGCTAGCACTACCTAGCACAAAACTATTCACAATCAATAGGCCTACTTGGAGTCAGTATCGATTATAAAGTGTCCAATACTCTATCAATGTTTTATTTTTTATCAGTACACACACACACATTCCCACTTTAACACACACACACACACTGACATGTATTCTCTCCCACCAGAGGTGCAGAGTGTCCAGGTGACTGTTCCCCAGACAGAGAGGAGTACAGCTCTGTTTGCCTCGATCATCCTGAAGTGTGACTACTCAACCTCCGCTAACCAGCAGAATGTCCTGGTCACCTGGCAATACAAGTCCTTCTGCAAGGACCCCGTCCTGGAGTACTACTCCCAAGGTTAGTTCTGGACCCTGTCCTGGAGTACTACTCCCCAGGTTAGTTCTGGACCCTGTCCTGGAGTACTACTCCCCAGGTTAGTTCTGGACCCTGTCCTGGAGTACTACTCCCAAGGTTAGTTATGGATCCTGTCCTGGAGTACTACTCCCAAGGTTAGTTATGGATCCTGTCCTGGAGTATTACTCCCCAGGTTAGTTATGGACCCTGTCCTGGAGTACTCCTCCCAAGGTTAGTTATGGATCCTGTCCTGGAGTATTTCTCCCAAGGTTACATTTACATTTACGTCATTTAGCAGACGCTCTTATCCAGAGCGACTTACAAATTGGTGCATTCACCCTATAGCCAGTGGGATAACCACTTTACAATATTTGTTTATTTTATTTTTTATTTAGGGGGGGGGGGGGGGGGTAGAAGGATTACTTTATCCTATCCCAGGTATTCCTTAAAGAGGTGCGGTTTCAAATGTCTCCGGAAGGTGGTGAGTGACTCCGCTGTCCTGGCGTCGTGAGGGAGCTTGTTCCACCATTGGGGTGCCAGAGCAGCGAACAGTTTTGACTGGGCTGAGCGGGAACTATGCTTCCGCAGAGGAAGGGGAGCCAGCAGGCCAGAGGTGGATGAACGCAATGCCCTCGTTTGGGTGTAGGGACTGATCAGAGCCTGAAGGTACGGAGGTGCCGTTCCCCTCACAGCTCCATAGGCAAGCACCATGGTCTTGTAACAGATGCGAGCTTCAACTGGAAGCCAGTGGAGTGTGCAGAGGAGCGGGGTGACGTGAGAGAACTTGGGAAGGTTGAACACCAGACGGGCTGCGGCATTCTGGATGAGTTGTAGGGGTTTAATGGCACAGGCAGGGAGCCCAGCCAACAGTGAGTTGCAGTAATCCAGACGGGAGATGACAAGTGCCTGGATTAGGACCTGTGCCGCTTCCTGTGTAAGGCAGGGTCGTACTCTCCGAATGTTGTAGAGCATGAACCTGCAGGATCGGGTCACCAACCTTGATGTTAGCGGAGAACGACAGGGTGTTGTCCTGGGTCACGCCAAGGCTCTTCGCACTCTGGGAGGAGGACACAACGGAGTTGTCAACCGTGATGGCGAGATCATGGAACGGGCAGTCCTTCCCCGGGAGGAAGAGCAGCTCCGTCTTGCCAAGGTTCAGCTTGAGGTGGTGATCCGTCATCCATACTGATATGTCTGCCAGACATGCAGAGATGCAATTCGCCACCTGGTTATCAGAAGGGGGAAAGGAGAAGATTAGTTGTGTATCGTCGGCGTAGCAATGATAGGAGAAGCCATGTGAGGATATGACAGAGCCAAGTGACTTGGTGTATAGCGAGAATAGGAGAGGGCCTAGAACTGAGCCCTGGGGGACACCAGTGGTGAGAGCACGTGGTGCGGAGACAGCTTCTCGCCACGCCACTTGGTAGGAGCGACCGGTCAGGTAGGACGCAATCCAAGAGTGAGCCGCGCCGGAGATGCCCAGCTCGGAGAGGGTGGAGAGGAGGATCTGATGGTTCACAGTATCAAAGGCAGCAGACAGGTCTAGAAGGACAAGAGCAGAGGAGAGAGAGTTAGCTTTTGCAGTGCGGAGAGCCTCCGTGACACAGAAGAGCAGTCTCAGTTGAATGACCAGTCCTGAAACCTGACTGGTTTGGATCAAGAAGGTCATTCTGAGAGAGATAGCAAGAGAGTTGGCTAAAGACGGCACGCTCAATAGTTTTGGAAAGAAAAGAAAGAAGGGATACTGGTCTGTAGTTGTTGACATCAGAGGGATCGAGTGTTGGTTTTTTGAGAAGGGGTGCAACTCTCGCTCTCTTGAAGACGTAAGGGACATAGCCAGCGGTCAAGGATGAGTTGATCAGCGAGGTGAGGTAGGGGAGAAGGTCACCGGAGATGGTCTGGGGAAGAGAGGAGGGGATGGGGTCAAGCGGGCAGGTTGTTGGGCGGCCTGCAGTCACAAGTCGCAAGATTTTATCTGGAGAGAGAGGGGAGAAAGAAGTCAAAGCATAGGGTAGGGCAGTGTGAGCAGGACCAGCAGTGTCATTAGACTTAACAAACGAGGATCGGATGTCGTCAACCTTCTTTTCAAAGTGGTTGACAAAGTCATCCACAGAGAGGGAGGGAGGGGGGGGGGGGGGGGGGGGGATTCAGCAGGGAGGAGAATGTGGCAAAGAGCTTCCTAGGGTTAGAGGCAGATGCTTGGAATTTAGAGTGGTAGAAAGTGGCCTTAGCAGCAGAAACAGATGAAGAAAATGTAGAGAGGAGGGAGTGAAAAGATGCCAGGTCCGCAGGGAGTCTAGTTTTCTTCCATTTCCGCTCAGCTGCCCGGAGCTCTGTTCTGTGAGCTCGCAATGAGTCATCAAGCCACAGAGCTGGAGGGGAGGACCGAGCCGGCCGGGAGGATAGGGGACACAGAGAGTCAAAGGATGCAGAAAGGGAGGAGAGGAGGGTTGAGGAGGCAGAATCAGGAGATTGGAGGGAGAAGGATTGAGCAGAGGGAAGAGATGATAGGATGGAAGAGGAGAGAGTAGTGGGAGAGAGAGAGCGAAGGTTGTGGCGGCGCATTACCATCTGTGTAGGGGCAGAGTGAGTAGTGTTGGAGGAGAGCGAGAGAGAAAAGGATACAAAGTAGTGGTCGGAGACATGGAGGGGAGTTGCAGTGAGATTAGTAGAAGAGCAGGATCTAGTAAAGATGAGGTCAAGCGTATTGCCTGCCTTGTGAGTAGGGGGGGACGGTGAGAGGGTGAGGTCAGGTGGGTGAGGTCAAAAGTGGAGAGGAGTGGAAAGAAGGAGGCAAAGAGAAATGAGTCAAATGTAGACGTAGGGAGGTTGAAATCCCCCAAAACTGTGAGTGGGTGAGCCATCCTCAGGAAAGGAACTTATCAAGGCGTCAAGCTCATTGATGAACTCTCCAAGGGAACCTGGAGGGCGATAGATGACAAGGATATTAAGCTTAAATGGGCTAGTGACTGTGACAGCATGGAATTCAAATGAGGAGATAGACAGATGGGTTAGGGGAAAAATTGAGAATGTCCACTTGGGAGAGATGAGGATTCCTGTGCCACCACCCCTCTGACCAGATGCTCTCGGGGTATGCGAGAACACATGGTCAGACGAGGAGAGAGCAGTAGGAGTAGCAGTGTTTTCAGTGGTAATCCATGTTTCCGTCAGCGCCAGGAAGTCGAGGGACTGGAGGGTAGCATAGGCTGGGATGAAGTCAGCCTTGTTGGCAGCAGAACGGCAGTTCCAGAGGCTGCCTGAGACCTGGAACTCCAGGTGTGTGGTGCGTGCAGGGACCACCAGGTTAGAGAGGCAGGTTAGTTATGGATCCTGTCCTGGAGTATTACTCCCCAGGTTAGTTATGGACCCTGTCCTGGAGTATTTCTCCCAAGGTTAGTTATGGAAGTGAAGGGAACTGGCCTGGAGCTGGGTTTGGAGGTTAACCTGTAGCCCAACAAGTTAACTTGTTGGGCTACAGGTTAACTTGTTGGGCTACAGAATTTGCCTATACACACTGTCAAACTAAGGTTGTTAGTGGTTGGGTAGATGAGTTTGCTGTAGTGTTTTTGTCAGGTTTGTAGTGAGGCCCAAACTTCCTGTCTCACTCTACTAAAGAGCAGGACACAAATTACTGGTGATGTACAGTAACACTCAGTCACACACAGACACACACTTCTGTATGAAATGTATCTCCCTCTTCTATAGCGTACCAGAATGCTCTGCAGCTGGGTCAGGACCCGGCCAATGACTGCCCAGACCGCCAGCGCACCGTGAGAACCGTCGTCCAGAAGAGCGGCACCAACGTGGCCATACTGGGCCCAGAGTACCGGGAACGCAAGATCTCCGTCCAGAACCGTGAGTCTAGACAGCCTTGGGTTGCAAAATTCCAGTAACTTTCCCTAAATTCCCCAGTTTGATAGAAATCCTGGTTGGAGGATTCCAGATTCCCCGCTTAATCCCTTCTGATTCCAGAAATCCTTCAACCCGGGGATTTCTGGAAAACCTGGGAATTTTAGGAACGTTACTGGAATTTTGCAACCTTAATCCAGCCGCAACATCACATGCCTCCCCCCAGCCGTTGCACAACATTAACTAATCAAGATAGTGGTGGAATAGAACAAAAATGTGACATGACTGGCGGTTCCCAGAGGAATGGATTGAGAAACAGCGTCCAAAAACAGCGTATCAATGTTGTCTTCTCCACAGAGGCTGACCTGGTGATCAATGAGATCATGTGGTGGGACAACGGGGTTTACTACTGTTCAGTCACCGCTGCAGGAGACACCAGCGGCGGCTTGGATGGCGTGATCAAACTCACCGTCTACAGTAAGTTGACCACAACCACAGCTATGACCACAACCTGGGCCGTATTCATAAAGCATCTCAGAGTGGGAGTGCTGTACTGGGATCAGGACCCTCCTGTCCATATAATTGGATTCATTAAGGCCAGCCATATCTTATATCAGCACTACTCCTACTGTGAAACGCTTTGTAAATACGGTCCCCTGGTGGGAATGGACTCTGAATTAAGAGACGTGGGTATAAGTGCATGTCTTTTTCCTGACTTGTTAAGTATCATTTGATGTAGTGATGTGTTGTGGCTGTGTCCAGACTGTTCAGTATCATTTGATGTATTGATGTCCTGTGTTGTGGCTGTGTCCAGACTGGCTGACGGTGCTGTTCATGGTGATTGGAGCTCTTCTCCTCATCTTACTGTTCTGTATCTGCTGCTGCCAGTGTTGTCCTCAGAGGTGCTGCTGCTACGTCCGTTGCCCCTGCTGCCCACAGACCTGCTGCTGTCCTGAGAAAGGTAGGGCAGTGCCTCGGTCTCTCTTCACGCTCTCTCTTCACAGTGTCTTCACACTCTCTCTCACTTCACTCTTCTCTTTGTCCTCTCTCTCTCTCTCTCTTCACTCTTCTCTTTGTCCTCTCTCTCTCTCTCTTCACTCTTCTCTTTGTCCTCTCTCTCTCTGACACCATCTCACCTCTCATCTCTTCCTCGTCTCTCCCATCAGCAGCCATGATGAGGTCCCATGCCATGGGGATGGAGTCGCCATCTACGCCCATGAGCCACGGCTCCTCACAGATGAACCCCTCTTTACAGTTAGTAACACCACAACTCCACACCCAACAGGATGCCCAACCCACACTCCACAGGGAGTTCAGTCCTTACTCTCGCCCACAGACACCACGACCCCTCACAGATGAGTCCTCTCTGTACACAACCCACACACACTCACACACAGGGAGTCTCTCTCCACACACTCCAGGGAGTCTCTCTCTCTCACACAACACCCACACACACACACCACACACACACACACACACACAGGGAGTCTCTCTCACACACACACACACACTCACACACAGGATCCTCTCTCTCACACACACACACACAGGATCTCTCTCTCTCACACACACACACAGGGAGTCTCTCTCTCTCACACACACACACACACACACACAGGGAGTCTCTCTCACACACACACACACTCACAACAGGGAGTCTCTCTCTCACACACACACACACACTCACACACAGGAGTCTCTCTCTCACACACACACACCTCACCACAGGGAGTCTCTCTCCTCACACACACACACACACTCACACACAGGGAGTCTCCTCTCCTCACACCACACAAAACAGGGAGTCTCTCTCTCTCACACACACACACACTCACACACAGGGAGTCTCTCCTCTCACACACACACACACACTCCACCAGGAGTCTCTCTCTCACACACACACCACACACAGGGAGTCTCTCTCTCTCACACACACACACACCACAGGAGTCCTCCTCTCTCTCACACACACACACACTCACACACAGGGAGTCTCTCTCTCACACCACACACACACACACTCACACACAGGAGTCTCTCTCTCACACACACACACACACACACACACAGGGAGTCTCTCTCTCACACACCACACCACTCGGAGTCTCTCTCACACACCACTCACACACAGGAGTCTCTCTCACACCACACACACAACGGGAGTCTCTCTCTCTCAACACACCACACCACTCACACACAGGGTCTCTCCTCACAACACACCACACACACACTCACACACAGGGATCTCTCTCTCACCACACACACACACACACACACACAGGGAGTCTCTCTCTCACACACACACACACACTCGGAGTCTCTCTCACACACACACACACACACAGGGAGTCTCTCTCTCACTCACACACAGGGAGTCTCTCCACACACACACACACACACACACTCACACACAGGGAGTCTCTCACACCACACCACACACTCACACACAGGGAGTCCTCTCTCCACACACACCACCACACACACAGGGAGTCTCTCTCTCACACACCACACACACACAGGGAGTCTCTCTCACACACACACACACACACCTCACACACAGGAGTCTCTCCCACCACACACACACACTCACACACACACAGGGAGTCTCTCTCTCTCACACACACACACACACACCACACACAGGGAGTCTCTCTCACACACACCACACACACACACACTCACACACAGGGAGTCTCTCTCACACACACACACACCTCACACACACACAGGGAGTCTCTCTCTCTCCACACACACACCACTCACACACAGGATCTTCACACACACACACCACACACACACTCACACACAGGGAGTCTCTCACACACACACACACACACTCACACACAGGGAGTCTCTCTCACAACACACACACCACACACACAGGGAGTCTCTCACACACACACACACCACCAGGGAGTCTCTCCCACACACACCCACACACACAGGAGTCCTCTCACACACACACCACACCACACACACACACACACACACACGGGAGTCTCTCTCACACACACACACACACTCACACACACACAGGGAGTCTCTCTCTCTCACACACACACTCACACATACACTCGGAGTCTCTCTCACACACACACTCACACACAGGGAGTCTCTCACACACACACACACACACACACCACACACAGGGAGTCTCTCACACACACACACACTCACACACAGGGAGTCTCTCTCCACACCACACCACAACCACACCACACACACAGGGAGTCTCTCTCACACACACACACACACACAGGGAGTCTCTCTCTCTCACACACACACACACACACAGGGAGTTCTCTCTCTCACACACACACACACACACACACACAGGGAGTCTCTCTCTCACACACACACACACACACACTCACACACAGGGAGTCTCTCTCACACACACACACACACTCCCACACACACAGGGAGTCTCTATCTCTCACAAACACACACACACACACAGGGAGTCTCTCTCTCTCACACACACACACACATACTCGGAGTCTCTCTCACACACACACACACACACACACACAGGGAGTCTCTCTCTCACACACACACACACACACTCACACACAGGGAGTCTCTCTCTCACACACACACACACACACACACACAGGGAGTCTCTCTCACACACACACACACTCACACACAGGGAGTCTCTCTCACACACACACACACACTCACACACACACAGGGAGTCTCTCTCTCTCACACACACACACACACACTCACACACACACTCAGAGTCTCTCTCACACACACACTCACACACAGGGAGTCTCTCACTCACACACAGGGAGTCTCTCTCACACACACACACACACACTCACACACAGGGAGTCTCTCACACACAGCAGAGCTATGCTTCTGATCTTCTAAATGTCTTGAACAAATCCATATTTGTCACTAATCATGGTTTGTTCTATCCCATCAGGCTCCCAATCAGGGAAGAGCATCGCCATGGCCCCCATGCCCCTCCCCCTTCCCACGTCTGGCTACAGCATGCCCCCCAGTGTCCATGCTGCCAGCGTCTATGGCAACCAACACCCTGGAAACAACCAGATGCTAGAATACCTGGAGAACCAGGTGAGGGGCATGGATGGGACCAGCCCCATGATGCAGCCCCAGCCCCACCACCAGCAGCTCCAGATGATGCCCCCTCCCCCCCAGCACATGATGCCCCAGCACGTCCCCTACTCAGCGGGTCCTCCCAGCATGCTCTCTGGCCTGGACGACGGGCCCATGGAGCACCGGGGGGTCATCCAGATGCCTCCCATCATAAAGCAGCCTGGACGAGGGGGTCAGAGAGGGGGCCAGCCGCCACTTGCTCCTAAAACACGCCCTCCCAGCTCCAGCGAGAGCAGCCGCAGCGAGAGTCGCTTCACTAATCACCGTGACGACCGCAGCGAACCCGGCGGGCGCCGTTATCTGTCGCCGTCAAGGAGCCGTGGCATGCCAAGGAGCTACAGCGAAGACTTTCTGGACGGGGAGAGCCGCGTGGTGCGGGGTCGAATGGGTTCACGTGACGACCTCAGCGACAGGGTCCCTCGATCCCGCTCCAGAGACGACCTGTTCGAGGAGCAGCGTCGCGCCCCGCCTCCCAGCAACTACTCCCGCTCCCGCAGAGGGTCGTTCAGTTCAGATGAGGACGAAAACGTCAGGAGAGGAGGGGGCAGAGGTCACAGGGGAGGGGGAGGAGGAGGAGGAATGTATTCGGACACCCCTCCCAGCTATTCTGAATACGAGCCGGGACAGAAAACACCAAGGAGGAATGAGCGCTACTCTGTTAAAACTCTTCTTTAGTTAGTACACTGAATACACACTCCTAAACACTTAAACACACAAACCACTAACACAACCCCTTCAAAAGCATTTACCATCTGACAACAGCATTTGATCCATGCCTTGAATTACACACAATCACGCAGATATGAAAGAATTACTCACAGAGACACACTGGTGCATGCTACTTGGTCTCGTCACTGCTTCCATTCAGGGAGCCCTTAATGAATGTGTGTCACACTACATTGCAAGTGTTCTGGCAGGTGCACTGTTGTCATCTGATCAAATCTGGGCTCTCACTGGCTGCCTCTCCTCTCCTTCTGCTGAATGGCATTACAACAGCCCCCTCTGCTGGTTGAACGCTTTTAGAGCAGACACGTGCCCAATCTTGCCAATCTCTTGTGCAAACAAAAGCTGTGTGTGTGCACAGTACAGTAGTCAGTCAGCCAGTCAGTCAGTACAGTAGTCAGCCAGCCAGTCAGTTAGTACAGTAGTCAGTCAGCCAGTCAGTCAGTACAGTAGTCAGCCAGCCAGTCAGTTAGTACAGTAGTCAGCCAGTTAGTCCAGTATTCAGTCAGTCAGTCAAGCCTCAACAGTAGTTGATCAGTTGAAAGGCTCAGCATTGGGAAACCAGAGACTGTAGAAAGAGCTGTGGCAATTGTCTCAGGTCCCGCTGTCATGTCCTCCTCCACTCTCTCTCTCTCTCTCTCTCTCCTCATATTGTGCTATTCTAATGGGGAATGACAGGGATGAAGGACAACCTATGAAAGAGCTGAAGTTGGGCCATTTTGCAGAGCTAAGCATTTGTCTTTGGTCATCAGCCATGTTGTCCTCCTGAATGATAGCTGGCGGCATGCAATTCCACATGTCGATCTGATATTCTAGATTCATTGTTTTTGAAGTTACTGCATATATCTTAAGCTGACATTTTGAATGGTATTTTGGTTTTATATTTAACATTTTATTTGTATCATTGCCATAATAGATGAGAATAATACATAATGCCTTAATTAATTGTTTGTCAAAAGTCAACCAGAAAACAAAGCAAATGTATTTTAAAAATATGTTTCCTGTTTGTTTTTAGCCATAGCCTATGTAAGCTTGTACTCCATGATCACTCAGGTCCCTTTTCTACATGTTGTACATGTAAATAGTTTGAATTGTGCGCTCTGTCTGGATATCTTGACTTGTGAATATTCAGTTAAGTAGGTATCCGTATGGCTCACGATATTTACAATGTGAGGAAAATGAGCAAAGACTGTGCTGTTACATGAAGTCAGTTTGCTTAGGAACTTATCCTGTTAGAGAAAGCAAAACCACCACCACCTCCTCAGGGTGAACTAGGCTTTGATGTGAAGATCACAGCTGTATTATTGTGTATGATTTGATGTCTATGGATAGACAATGTTGGTGGTGTAGGTTTCTCCCTCTTAGGGACAATGAAGGAAATGTTTTCAATAAAGTTATTTTATAGATACCTTGGTGTACAGGTGTCTTCACCCAACTGGTTCCCATTTCAAACATTCTGCAGGCAAATTACATACTGACACACTGACACCCAACAGGCTGGCTTATAGGACACACTGACACACTGACACCCAACAGGCTGGCTTATAGGACACACTGACACCCAACAGGCTGGCCTATAGGACATGCGTGCACACACACTAGGAAGCTCCTCCATTGTCCAGTAATTTCCATACACACAGACCGTGAATGCCTGCTTCAGACCTATATATGATCACCTTTGTGTTGTGATCAGATTAGTTCAAGGCAATGTAAAGACAAATTGACAATTGATTTGAGTAAAATTACATTCAGGATCAAAGGCCATCCATAAGATGTATGTCATTGGATGTCATACTCGTTTGTGATAATTTCTTCAACATAACAAAGTTAGCAGGAATTAAATGCATATTTTTTTTATTTCACATAATTTACACTGTGTTGAAAATGTTTTGCAAGAGGATTGTAACGTTTGTGTAAATATTCGTCATCAAATTCATGTGCGGCTGCGCGGCAGAAGAACACGTCGCATGAATGATGACGTTTTCGCAAAACAGGCAACGCTTTGCCACGTCGGTCTCTGTGTGCTACTAGTGACTGTAGCTAGCTAGTGTTGCACTGCAAACAGACTCGTTTTTAACCGTATGTTTATTGTTGGAGGTAAACCGATATAACGTTCTGTGTGTTTATAAGTAGCACACAACCCCCTCCCCGCTAAAGCCTAGGAATATATTAATTTTTAAGACGAGAGAAATGTTCGCTACTATCTCGGCTTGCCAACCCACAATTGACTGATGCATCCGTGTCCACACCATCCGCTTTTTGTCGATGTGTGAGTATTCTGTTTTATTCCTGCACGAGTAGCTCATTAGCTAGCAGTGTTTGTATACAATGCATCAAATCCAACATAATGTAACTAACGTTACCTAGGCTACATAACTTCCCCATTTGAAATGATGAATCCTGTAAATGCTCTCGTTTCTTTCCTCTATAATAACAAATGACAGTTCGATCATGTCCAATAACACAATAACTAGCTAGCTTGACTATGTTACTGGAAATAACTAGCTAGTTACAAATTGCTTATACATACCCAGCTAAATGTGTAGTAACTACAGTATGTGTTTAACTAGCTAGCTACTTGTCTTGAAAATACAACTTTTCAACTTCTATGAGAATGTTTAATCTTCTAGAATGTTCTGCTAGTTATAAAGTAGTTAGAAGTTCGATTTTCTGCCATTGGGAATATTGCACTCGCAATACAAGTGTCAGACTTGTGGAACAGTTGCCTATAATATTGGAACCGTTTCCATTCTATCAACCACAGATTTAAGCCGTTACTTTATTGCGCATGCCTTCTGATCTGGGCAATTTCCGCATTTTGCTGTTGAAAAACTTCAGTTTCGATACAACACTACAGTACAGTCATGCTTAAGAAAGTGTTGCCTGAGAACAGTAGCTAGCTATGTTTGCAGATAGGCTACTGCTACTCCAGTCTGACGCAAGCATGGATAAGTTGGGATATTTTTATAACCATTATCACTCATCATCACCTGAAACATTAGTACGTGGAAGAACAGCCTAGCGAGTCTTACGTTGACTGGCAGTGCGGCACCTTTGCAACCCTTCCCTTGCTCCTCCAGTAATCAAGGTATGGTGTATAGGACTAGCTAGTTAACTTTATTTTGTGGTTGTGGGCATTGTGTGTCTCTCACGACTCCTTTGTGTTCAGTCTCCCTTAATGGAATGGCTGTGTGTGTGTGGGCTGTTCCGGAAAACTATACATTAGCCTATGTCCAGCTACTAGGAAGCTCCCCCATTGTCCATTCATTTACACACACACACACAGGGATTGGGATAACCTGGTTTGGTTATCTCTTGTTCTGTCACCGTGGCCTGTACAGTAGCTAAAGTGTTGTCTTTCACCTGGCTGCCATTGTAAGGTGTGTGTGATGACTGTGTGTCTGTCTGTGTGTGATGCCTGTCGCTCTGTGTGTTATGCCTGTCGCTCTGTGTGTGATGCCTGTGTCTGTGTGTGATGCCTGTTGCTGCTGTGTGTGTATGCTGTTGTGTGATGCCTGTCTGTCTGTGTGTTATGCCTGTCGGTCTGTGTGTGATGCCTGTCTGTCTGTGTGTGATGCCTGTCTGTCTGTGTGTGATGCCTGTCTGTCTGTGTGTGATGCCTGTCTGTCTGTGTGTGATGCCTGTCTGTCTGTGTGTGATGCCTGTCTGTCTGTGTGTGATGCCTGTCTGTCTGTGTGTGATGCCTGTCGCTCTGTGTGTTATGCCTGTCTGTGTGATGCCTGTCTGTGTGATGCCTGTCTGTCTGTGTAATGTGTGGTGTCTGTCTGTGTGATGTCTGTCTGTGATCAGTCTGAGGATGTAGTCTTATGTAATGTTGCATGACCCTGGGTGCTTGACTATGGTGATGATGTTGTCCTACCAGTAACCTAGCCCAGGACTAAACCTATTCACCTACCTCTGTTCTATTGACTCTGTCCTAGTCTTGCCTTTTGTTGACGCCGTCTTCCCCAGGTCTGCGTTCAGTAGGACACGATGTTCTGGAAGGTTTAGATAGAAATACATTGTTTATCCTACGTCATATCATCCTACGTGCCTCTCCGACGAGTAGAGTAGCGACTCATTCATGGCATGTTTTTTTCAGGAGGCGTCTATCTGCAACGTGTGTTTACACATTTTGTCCTCTATTGAGGCTGTTCTTTATTGAACCTGGGTTGTGTTCATTAAGGCACAAGCCATAACAAAATGTGTTGTAACGGAAAACCGAAACAGCCATTTCATATTGCAGAAGTTCAGATGGTATTCTACCTCCCTGTTTTCACTCCGTTTTCTAACGTGTTGTGCCTAATGACCATGACCCTGACGTTGTTTTCTCTCTGTCGGTCTCTCCAGTGGCCTGGCTGTGAGGTGGTGCTGGTCTCTGGGTCTAGGTGGAGAGGCAGTAGCAGGGGGTGTTGAGGTGGTGCCTGGCCATGCCCGGGGGCCGCAGGGGGCCAAGTAGACAACAGCTGAGCCGCTCTGCTCTGCCCTCCCTCCAGACTCTGGTGGGGGGCAGCCTCAGCAACGGCAACGGACTCAGGAACAGGTGAGGATACACACACACACAGGTACTGTCCACAGCCCTAACACACACAGACACACACACAGAATGGGCTACAGTACTACAACAAGCAGCCCTAACCCCCCTCCCCCCAAACACAAACAGACCTACTTTATTTATTGTCACAAGCCTTATTCCATAGGAAATGAAATGTGTAGGCCTTAGGCTACTTTATCAGACTGTCTTTTTAAAATGTTACTGTCTGCATCTACCATGAGACGGTCATATCTTCTTTTACCATGAGACGGTTATATCTTCATCTACCATGAGACGGTCATATCTTCTTCTACCATGAGACGGTCATATCTTCTTTTACCATGAGACGGTCATATCTTCTTCTACCATGAGACGGTCATATCTTCTTCTACCATGAGACGGTCATATCTTCTTCTACCATGAGACGGTCATATCTTCTTCTACCATGAGACGGTCATATCTTCTTCTACCATGAGACGGTCATATCTTCTTCTACCATGAGACGGTCATATCTTCTTCTACCATGAGACGGTCATATCTTCATCTACCATGAGACGGTCATATCTTCATCTACCATGAGACGGTCATATCTTCTTCTACCATGAGACGGTCATATCTTCTTCTACCATGAGACGGTCATATCTTCTTCTACCATTAGACGGTCATATCGTCATCTACCATGAGAGTGAGGGGGGAGTAGTCAGATTATTAATACCACACCTCCTCTGAGGGGAAGAAGGTATGGCAGCTCAGGTGAACACAGAGGAGGAAGAGGCATAGAGATCACGTCACTGTTCAGTTCTGTTCTTTTCTCGCCACAACATGTTCTCCTTTTCCCTCACGGTAAAACACACATTCCTGCATTCTCCAGTAGCAGTCTTGAGAACACAGACGCTCACCACGCTATAACACTCAAGCTCAAGGCTTCTCCAGAACCACCACACACACCACTAACCCCAGCTTCTCTCAATGTCCCCCTCCTTCCAGGAGCAGTAACTGTGTGGGACCCTCTGCCCCGCCCCTCTCCGCCCTCATCACGCCGGAACCCGTCCGTCACTCACGGATCCCTGACCTCCCATTGGACAGCAGCCTGCTGTTTGAGTTCCTGCTCTTCCTCTACCTGCTGGTGGCGCTGTTTGTTCAGTATATTAATATCTACAGGACCGTGTGGTGGTACCCTTACAGTCACCCTGCTGCCTCCACATCTCTGGTGAGTAGTACACACACACACACACACACACACACACACACACACACACACACACACTCTCTCTCTCCTTCAGTCTATTTATTGTCTCTCCTCTCTGCAGAACTTCCATCTTATGGACTACCACCTGGCTGTCTTCATCACAGTGATGCTGGCCAGGAGACTGGTGTGGACCATAGTGTCAGAGGTGTTTATCATACTCACTCTCTCTCTGTCTCTCTGTCTCTCTTTCTCTGTCTCTCCCTCTCTCTCTTCTATCTCTTCTCGCTCTTTCGTTCTCTCTTTCTCTCTGTCTCGTTCTCTCTCGCTCTGTCTGTCTCTCTTCTTTCTCTCTCTCTCTCTCTCTCTCTCTCTCTCTGTGTCTCTGTCTCTGTCTCTCTCTCTCTCTACCTTCCACCTTCCTCAACTTTAGCTGCCTATTTCTCAGCTGTTTCTGAACTCGTTGCATCATGTTTTGGGGTGTATTATTACTTGTGGGAGAGAACTTGTGTCTAGTTTTTAGGCTGACGCTGATCCTCCTAGTTGCATCGTTAGTATTGTTTTGTCTGGACTCTGACCAGGGTGTTGTGTGTGTGTGTGTTTGACTGACTTGTGGTGGCTTTGTATTGTAGTCTTGTTATGTCTGAGTTAAGAGCTTAGTGTGTAGCAATTTATTGTGGTTGATTGTGCTGTCTGTCGGTGGAGTGTGTTTGGTGTAACCTCTAACCTGTGGGTGTGTGTCTGTCTGTCTGTCTGTCGTTGTGTCCCTCCCCCCAGGCGTCTCAGACCAGTCCATGTTCCTTGGTATGGTACGTGGTCCTGATCGCAGCACGGCTCAGCCTCCTCACTCTGTGTGGCTGGGTTCTCTGTTGGACCCTGGTCAACCTGTTCAAGAACCACTCGGTGCTCAACCTGCTCTTCCTTGGATACCCGTGAGTGGCTCTGTTCAGAGACAGGAGTTACCAGAGGTTTCAGAGTAGTTCCTTTATGACAGCAGCTCTAGAGTTGTTGTGACTATAGCTCTGTAGATGGTAGTCTAGTGGTTTTATTCAGAGATGGTGTCTATGTGCTGGGAAGTAGCGTAGTGTATTTTATTGTTACCAGCCTTTATTACCACAACGTCATATTTGACCATTGTCTAGTTGATCTCACTCCTGTTGTAACTTTCATTTTCTTTCCCTTTCTAATTTTACCTAATTTCTCTCTCCCTCTTTCACTTCTCTCTCCCTCTTTCACGTCTCTCTCCCTCTTTCACGTCTCTCTCCTCTTCCTCCTCCCTTTCACTTCTCTCTCTTTCAGTTCTCTCCTCTTCTTCTCTCTCCCTCTTTCACGTCTCTCTCCCTCTTTCACGTCTCTCTCCCTCTTTCACGTCTCTCTCCCTCTTTCACGTCTCTCTCCCTCTTGCATTTCTCTCTCCTTTCTCTCTCCTCTCTCTATCTCATCCCTGTCTCTCTGTCTGTCAGGTTTGGGGTGTATGTTCCCATGTGTTGCTTCCATCAGGAGGGCAGGGCCCAGCCTGTGCCTTCAGACTGTGGTTACTCAGACCAGGACCTGTCCGATGGGCCCTTCTTCAGGTAAACACACACACTCCCCTTCTTCAGGTAAACAAATAAACAACAGACACACTCCCCTTCTTCAACGTTCTCTCCCCCAGCCAAACACACCCTTCTGGTCAGAGAGGGGGACAGAACATTGACTCAACTGGCAATAAAAGTTCCCTGCAAAGAGAGGAGTGTGGATGGAGTCAGAGGTAGTCAGGACCTCTTATTGATTTCTTCTCTCTCACAGCCTGGGACAGATACCTCTATTTGATTGTGTGAGTTTAGTCAATGGTCTTTTTAGCCGACACCCCACCTAAAGGGTGTGCGTTTTTAAAGTACCGTAGAGAGTACACTGCAATCTGATATTCCTGTCATGTGACATTTTGTCAAATGCAATAATAGTGTAATTAAAAAGAATGAAACTGAAAAAGACAGAAGAATACGTTGCTTACGTCTTACCCGTTATATTTCTGGGCCTGTGTTAATAGTCAGAGTGCTGGGCCGGTATCCATAAAGTGTCTCACAGTGGAAAATCGGTCTTAAGTGCTGAGAATAGACATCTCCTGCTCTTATTGGTTAAAAATAAAAACAAAATAAAAACTCTGCATGAAGCCTCTTAAGTCATAAGAGTCCCACCTTGTCAACAGATATTTAGGACACCTCATGAGTTGAAAGAAATGGATAATAAGAAGATTGTGGGAGCTGTACTGTTAGATTTCAGTGCAGCCTTTGATATTATTGACCATAACTAGGGCTGTAGCGGTCACGTCAGCCGGTGTCAAGCAAATAACTATCGGTCTCACGGTAATTGACCGTAATTAACATAAACACATGTAGCATCTCCTGGCTTCCACACATAGCCTACAAGCCACTGATGCAGACCTTTTGGGTCATCTACGTTTTAAAAAGTCTAATAAATCCATGTAATATAGCCTACACCTTCACAATAAATCCATTATTTATTTTAGACAGGTCTAAAGAAACATGATATGAAGAAAATATAGTCTATTTCAGAAGAACAGAATAGCATACTTGTGAGTTTTCCATGTTAGGTCCTGATCTATTTGCATTTTTATGGTGAAAATGATCTTCCCCAAACTTGAAACTCTCGCGCTGCATACCAGTTAGGCTCTACACCCATTGTAAAGTGAATTAATGTGCTTCGTTTTAAGAAGTTATTTGGCCACTTTAGTTGTGATACAAACCTTATCAAAACATATAGGCCTATGGGATAGGCTACATGAGGTGTGTGACTATGATTCGAAAAGTCACACACAAAAAAGGCATTGTTTCTTGCCTTAAGCTGGGCATCATTCACAGGTGATAATATATAATTCACAAGCGATAGGCTAATATTGTCACCCATCAGACTATTCTTGATTTAATCTTGTCTTTACATATACTAAATAATATATGTGTGAAATTAGTTTTGATTTAGAATGGACCATTATCATTTCACCTGTCTCGAAACAGGGGCAGGGGAAAAAATACATGTAATCTCTGCACTTAAATAGCGAATGGAGGACGCTTTTCCTGTGGTTCATTTTCATGCCAGCCAGGTAGGCTATTCTCCTGTTGTAAAGATTAGCAATGTGCTTAATATTAGGAAAGTTGAGAAATAAATATAGTAGGCCTAGCCTATAGAGAGCTGATGGGATCCTCCTCTTTTTAATAGAGGCCATCACTCTGTTTTCTCGTGCAATTGCATAGCCTATAGAAATGTTGCGCAACCTGAGCTCATGGGCTCTCATGAAGTGTTTGATTAGATTTTCGATTACATTTGTATTGATGTCAGAGTGATTAGAGGGACAATAGTGCTGAGTACCAGTCAGTTAGCAAGTTTGGTAGGCTACTAATGACCATCAGCAGCATCAGAGCTTGGAGAAGCCTAATTACCGTGACTAAACGGTCACGTGGAATTTGACTGCCTTCATGACTCATGACCGCCGGTGTGGCGGTAATACAGTCACCGCAACAGCCCTAACCATAACCTGTTGTTGAGAACTTATGTGTTATGGCTTTTCAACCTCTGCCATATCATGGATTCAGAGCTATCTATCTAATAGAACTCAGAGGGTTTTCTTTAATGGAAGCATCTCTAATGTCAAATGTAAAGTGTGGTGTACTACAGGGCAGCTCTCTAGGCCCTCTACTCTTCTATTCTACCAATGACCTGCCCTGGCATTAAACACATTTTCATTACTAGCATTTCTCAGACCAATGAGGGCCTCCACTGGCACTAGGGCGCACAAGCCAGCATTTTTTTATGTTGGGGGGGGGGGGGGTTATTCTTATAGGTGGCGTGACGCCGGGTTGGGGTGATTCCACGGGGCCCACGAACAGTTTTACTACGAACTCGCTCTGGATAGAGGCTAAATGGACGTAAAGTTAATATGTGAATGTAAATTCAAACCATATACGCATCAGCAACCACAGCTAATGAAGTCACTGAAACCCTTAACAAAGAGTTGCAGTCAGTTTTGGAGTGGGTGGCCAGTAATTAACTGATCCTGAACATCTCTAAAACTAAGAGCGTTGTATTTGGTACAAATCACTCCCTAAGTTCTAGACCTCAGCTGAATCTGGTAATGAATGGTGTGGCTGTTGAACAAGTTGAGGAGACTAAATTACTTGGTGTTACCTTAGATTGTAAACTCATGTTCAAAACATATTGATTCAATGGTTGTAAAGATGGGGAGAGGTCTGTCTGTAATAACTAGGTCTTTTTTGACACCACACTCCACAAAGCAAGTCATGCAGGCTCTGGACAATAATCAAGATAAAACTAGTCATATGGTCAAGTGCTGCAAAGAAAGACCTAGTTAAGCTGCAGCTGGCCCAGAACAGAGCGGCACGTCTTGCTCTTCATTGTAATCAGAGGGCTAATATAGATACTATGCATGCCAGTCTCTCTTGGCTAAGAGTTGAGGAGAGACTGGCTGCATCACTTCTTCTGTTTATAAGAAACATTTAATGTGTTGGAAATTCCAAATTGGTTTGCATAGTCAACTTACACACAGCACTGACACACACACTTACCCCACGAGACATGCCACCAGGGGTCTTTTCACAGTCCCCAGGTCCAGAAAAAATTCAAGGAAACGTACAGTATTATACAGAGCAATAAATAAATATGCCATTTAGCAGACGCTTTTATCCAAAGCGACTTACAGTCATGTGTGCATACATTTTTACGTATGGGTGGTCCCGGGGATCGAACCCACTACCCTGGCGTTACAAGCGCCATGCTCTACCAATTGAGCTACAGAGGACCACATTGAGCTACAGAGGACCACTGAGTGCATGGAACTCCCTTCCGTCTTATATAGCGCAAGTGAACAGCAAACCTGGTTTCAAAAAACTAATAAAGCAACACCTCACGGCACAACGCCTCTCCCCCATGTGACCTACTTGTTGTGTGTATGTACTGACATGTATGTGGAACTGATAGATGCGCACACACACACACACACTACATGTTAATGTTTTTAAATGTATGTAAATTGTAAAGTATTTAGTCTGTAATGTCTTTTTCGTTATGTGTCGGACCCCAGGAAGACTAGCTGTCACCATTGACGTTGGCTGATAGGGATCCTAATAAATCAAATAATTTGCACCTTGGTTAATGAGCGTCATCACTGTCTTTCCTTTGCGGTACCTCAAACTGTCGTGAGAACCAGCTGAGATAAACTCTCATGATTTTACTCCTGGCTCAGAGTTTGTCTTAACATCATCCTAAAACCTACTCTGAGCTGGGAGTTTTTAAAAATCTTAAAACTGGTTTTAACAGGATTCCTAGGACCTTTTCTGAGATGCTTTGTGGACTGGGGCCTAGGGCGTGATTCTTAATAATAAAGAGGATTCATGGGTAACTTATTTTTACCCATAAGAGTAGGAAGTAAACTGTCTATTCTCAGCACTTACGACCAATTTTCTACTCTGAGATACTTGTGGATACGGGGCCCTGGTCTCCCCTGTCCATGTAGTCTTATTCCATTATGAAAAAACTGATCCTAGATCATCATTCCTACTTCTCCCTTCTCCCTCCAGGCCCAAGGACTTCCTAGCGTTACTGAGGGAGAACCTGAGAGAGCAGTTTACCTCTCCAGGCCAAATCCCCCACCACACCTGTCCCCAGCCCCCGTCTCCAGAACTCATCCGCAGCGAGGTGGAGGAACTCCGGAGCGACTTCAACCGCCGCATCAAGGAAGTCCTGTTCAACTCCCTGTTCAGCGCTTACTACGTAGCCTTCCTCCCTCTCTGCTTCGTCAAGGTACTAACCCTTACTACGTAGCCTTCCTCCCTCTCTGCTTCGTCAAGGTACTAACCCTAACCCTTATTACGTAGCCTTCCTCTCTCCTGCTCGTCAAGGGTACTAACCCTTACTACGTATCCTTCCTCCTCCTCTGCTTCTTCAAGATACTAAACCGCTAACCCTACAGTAGCCTTCCATCTCCTCTGCTTCGTCAAGGTAACTAACCCTTACTTAGTAGCCTTCCTCTCTCTGACCTTCTGTCAAGGTACTAACCCTAACCCTTATTACGTAGCCTTCCCTCTCCTCTCTGCTTTCGTCAAAGGTAACCAACCCTTACTACGTAGCCCTCCTCTCCTCTGCGTCGTCAAGGGTAACAACCATTACTAAGTAGCCTTCCTCTCTCTGCTTCGTCAAGGTACTAACCCTTACTATGTAGCCTTCCTCCCTCTGCTTCGTCAAGGTACTAACCCTTACTACGTAGCCTTCCTCTCTGCTTCGTCAAGGTACTAACCCTTACTACGTAGCCTTCCTCCTCTCTGCTTCGTCAAGGTACTAACCCTTACTACGTAGCCTTCCTCTCTGCTTCGTCAAGGTACTAACCCTTACTACGTAGCACTTCCTCTCTCTGCTAGCTCTTCTCTGCTTCGTCAAGGTACTAACCCTTACTACGTAGCCTTCCTCTCTCTGCTTCGTCAAGGTACTAACCCTTACTACGTAGCCTTCCTCTCTGCTTCGTCAAGGTACTAACCCTTACTACGTAGCCTTCCTCCTCTGCTTCGTCAATGGTACTAACCCTTACTACGTAGCCTTCCTCTCTCTCTGCTTCGTCAAGGTACTAACCCTTACTACGTAGCCTTCCTCACTCTTGCTCGTCAAGGTACAACCTTACTACGTAGGCCTTCCTCTCTCTGCTTCAAGGTACTAACCCTTACTACGTAGCCTTCCACTCTCTCTGCTTCGTCAAGGTACTAACCCTTACTACGTAGCCTTCCACTCTCTCTGCTTCGTCAAGGTACTAACCCTTACTACGTAGCCTTCCTCTCTCTGCTTCATCAAGATACTAACCCTTACTACGTAGCCTTCCTCTCTCTGCTTCGTCAAGGTACTAACCCTTACTACGTAGCCTTCCTCTCTCTGCTTCGTCAAGGTACTAACCCTTACTACGTAGCCTTCCTCTCTCTGCTTCAAGGTACTAACCCTAACCCTTACTACGTAGCCTTCTCTCTCTGCTTCGTCAAGGTACTAACCCTAACCCTTACTACGTAGCCTTCCTCTCTCTGCTTCGTCAAGGTACTAACCTTACTACATAGCCTTCCTCTCTCTGCTTCGTCAAGGTACTAACTAACCCTTACTACGTAGCCTTCCTCTCTCTGCTTCGTCAAGGTACTAACCCTTACTACGTAGCCTTCTCTCTCTGCTTCGTCAAGGTACTAACCCTTACTACTAGCCTTCTCTCTCTGCTTCGTCAGGTACTAACCCTAACCTTACTACGTAGCCTTCCTCTCTCTGCTTCTCAAGGTCAATCTCCTCTCCCATTTCTCCCTTTCCCCTTAGCAGCGTCAGGAGTCTGCCTCCTCCCTCCCCTCCCTATTATCCAAGGACTGTCAACCCTCTGTACTCCCTCCCTCCCTATTATCCAAGGAACTGTCAACCCTCCTGGTACTCACCTCCCCTCCCTATTATCCAGGACTGTCAACCCTCCTGGTACTCACCTCCCCTCCCTATTATCCAAGGAACTGTCAACCCTCCTGGTACTCACCTCCCCTCCCTATTATCCAAGGAACTGTCAACCCTCCTGGTACTCACCTCCCCTCCCTATTATCCAAGGAACTGTCAACCCTCCTGGTACTCACCTCCCCCCTCCTATTATAATAATGTCAACCCTCCTGTTCTCACCTCCCCTCTCCCTATTATCAAGGACTGTCAACCCTCCTGGTACTCCACCTCCCCTCTCCCTATTATCCCAGGAACGTCCAACCCTCCTGGTACTCACCTCCCCTCCCTATTATCCAAGTATCTGTCAACCCTCCTGGTACTCACCTCCCCTCCCTATTATCCAAGGAACTGTCAACCCTCCTGGTAGTCATATTCCCTCCCCTGGGTTTTGTGTGTTCACAGTTTCCTCCACCAGTCTCCAGGTATCCTAGATGCCGTCTCCTGCCGTTGTGTTAAGCAAGACCCTTGAACCCTAAAACGTCTTCTTCTCTCCCCCTACAGAGTACCCAGTACTATGACATGCGCTGGTCCTGTGAGCACCTGATCATGGTGTGGATCAATGCGTTTGTGATGCTGATGAGCCAGCTGTTACCTCCCAGCTACTGTGACCTGCTGCATCGCTCTGCAGCCCATCTGGGGCGCTGGCAGAAACTGGAGCACGGATCCTACAGCAACGCCCCACAGCACCTGTAGGTAGTCCACACACACACACACACACACTTCTACAGCAACGCCCCACAGCACGTGTGTCACTAGGTAACCCAACCTTTCTCCTGGAGAGCTAGCCATGTGCAGGCTTTTGTTCCAACACATCTAATTCTACTGATCAACTGCTCTTCAGGACTCGACCAGGTGTGTTTAAAGCAGGGATGGAGCAAAACCCTGCATTTCGAGCGTGTCTCCAGGAAGAGGGTTTGCCACCCTGCTGTCCACCACACTCTGCTATCTGGCCTTCTTCAAGGGAGGTTTTTATGTGATCTCTTGAGCATCTGTTGTAGGATGAATCTCAACTTTGTGTTGTGTGTTGCAGGTGGTCTGAGAGTACAGTCTGGCCCCAGGGGGTGTTAGTACGCCACAGTCGTAGTCTATACAAGGCTGTGGGACCCTACAACGTGGCCCTGCCGTCAGACGTCTCCCACGCTAGGTTTTACGTGAGTCACTGCCTTTCTCCAGCCCCTTTCATGTCTTTATATCCTGCCTTGAGATTTCACTGATATTTCAATAGAAATACGTGTTTCTAAATAAATACATATTTTGATATTTATTTATTGCGTTGTAGTTCCTTTTCCACAAGCCGCTGCGGATCCTGAACCTGTTGATCTGGATCGAGTCTAGCGTGGTCCTGTACCAGCTGTACTCCCTGCTCCGCTCTGAAAGCTGGAACCACACCCTCTCCCTGGGCCTCATCCTCTTCTGCAACTACTACGTCCTCTTCAAGCTGCTCCGGGACCGCATCGTGCTGGGCAAGGCCTACTCCTACCCTCTGACCTCCAGTACAGGCTGCAGCACTACCAACAGCACCAACGGCATGGGGCTGAAGTCCCAGTGACACCCCAGGAGACGGTTCTGGAGCTGGGGGAAGAGGGTTGGGATACTCCCTAGCCTCCCTGGAGGGATGGAGGGGAGATGGGATGGAAGGGGTGGAGGGGGGAGATTGACTGTGAACTCATATTGTTTTGATACGGTTCTATTTTTCATGCAATGTTTATACCTATTTAAATAATATTTTATTTTGTATACTGTTTCAAAAGTAACACAGGGCATTACGGTAGTATTGTCATGTGATGTTTGTTGCCTCGTGGTGCAAAGCGATTGAATGGGAGAGAGTGAGTTGTGTTCATGATGCCATGAGGCCCAGCCCCCACGCTGTGCTAAGCTCCTCCTCCTATGCTCGCCGCGTTCCGACTTCCACCAAAGATGCTTAAAGAAGGCTTCAGAGCCAATCAGAGGGATAGACTTTGGCGCCGGCGGGCCAATCAAGGAAGAGACTTTGGCTCGGTTGGCCAATCAAGGAAGAGACTGAGGAGGAGTGCCCGCCTCTCCCTGCACACTGCCTCTGTAGAGGACGTATTCATCCTCTTACTGTATTTTATTAGGATTCGTTTCGTAGCAAGACTGTCTGCAGTTTGACCATGAGCGCTGACTCTGGTGCCTGTAGAACATTGTGCGTCCCAAATGGCACCCTATTCCCTACATAGTGCACTACTTTTGTCTACAGCCTCGTGGGCCCAGGTCAAAAGTAGTGCACTATATAGGGAATAGGGTGCTGTTTGGGACAGGCCCAATGTCTCCTTTGCAGTGTCATGTTCATTCAGGTCGTTCATTCACCACAAATAGCCTCTCTTTATTTTACTGTGCCTGAGCAGCGAAAAACATAGATATAGTCTGAATAGAATGGACACCACCACCGCAACAGATTGCATGGCCGTTTTCTAGATGGGACGCAAACCACATTGAATGTGCAGTTATGTATGTATGTTGTTTTACTTTCCAGTTTGTGCTTTAAAATTAAATCACAAATTACACTCGATATCTTCAAATCTAAAAGTTCTGCTCAGCTGCAAGCAGTGTTATTTCCAGATGAAGACCTGAGATGGGTTCTAGTGCCATAATTGTCCATTCACCCGTTCTATTTCTATGAGCAGCTGAACTAGAATGATTCATGTTTTTCGACGTGCCAAAATCCCAAGTTACCTGGATGAACGTGTTTGTTCATGGGCGCGTTCCTCGTCGTCTTTACTGTAGTCCTGTTGCAGGGCGGCTCTCAGCAGATTGCTATGTCATATGAATGTGGTTCCTGAGATGTTAGCCGGTGGGGTGGGGGGGCATGGACTCTCGTATGGCTCACAGTATTTGATTTCCGAGAGCATTTCTTATGCCGTTGAAATATGAAATAAAATAATAAAATAAAAAAGCTGTTAAACTGACTTGTGAATGTGATTGTTTGTCCACGAGATCGTGTAGATGAGAGATGAAACCACAAAGACCGATTTGCAAAACAGCATTATGCATTTTATTCCAAAGCATTATAAAGTTGATATATATTGCAGAACAATTGTTTTTAAAACACAAAAATAGCTCAACCATAAAGTTTGACAAAGTGCATATCTTGAGTAGATGAGGATCCGTATGGCAGAGGCAACGATGAGTCAACCCTCCGGTGCGATGCATCAGTGGCCTGTAGTATTGTCTTTGACCCAGCAGAGGGAGCTATGGAGCTATGGATATTTTACTCGGGGCCATTTGAAACACCAACAATTTGTACTGTGACAGTACTTTGTAGTACTTTGAAGAGCAGGATAGCACCTTTGGTTGATGACAGGGTTGCATTCATTGGCAAAAACAGGAGATGTCCCAACAGAGCTCTTACAATCTATAGAATTAGCAGTGAAACCATGTGTCTGTCTCCCCGGCTCTCCACCATCTCTTACACACCTTCTTCCTGCTTTTATTTCATCCTTTCTTTCAGTGCATTAAATGTTCTCTTAACCATCATGACATGTCGGTCCAGGGAGTCTTGGTCAAAGCCATCTCCTTAAGCTCAGTCATAAGAACCTTTTCAGTTATGTTTCAAAGCACAGTGTTGATAATGCAGCAAGTCGGCACAAATACATTATTACATTTTATTTAATGTATGGTTGAAAGGGTTAGTGAGGTTGTATGTATGTACAGTATGACAGTATGACTTCCTGGATGTAAATCTGAGTGGTTACAGTTGTGTGTTGGAGGATGTCTCTGCATGCACAACGATGGATGTGTTAATAATGAAACAATATTAATACATGATGAAGTATGTACTGCATGTGCATGAATGACATTTCCATTGGTCAACTTCACTTCCTCTTCCTCAGCAAGGGAAGTAAAGACCCACTTCACTTTCTCCTCCATCAATCCTTTTCGTTTGTGTGTGTGTGTGTGTGTGTGTGTGTGTGTACAGTATGTGCATGACATGTCAATGTCCATCGGTCAACTCCACCTCTTCCTCATCCTTCTCGGCAGTCTACGTAGTTTCCTTTGATCCAGTAGCAGATCTGGGCATATTTCAGCGGCGTCACCCTCACCGCCACGTTAAACTCCTGTGACGCCCCGTCTCGATCCACCCACTGGTGCCCCTGAGAACACCCCGATCACCTTCCTCTCCCAGCGCCGCCTCCTCCGGTCCCACATACGGGCGTAGACCCCCGAGCCGCTGGCCCCGGGCTGGGCATCACAGTGCTGGTAGAGTAGGTCCGACGTCTCCTCTCCAGCCCGGCAGAACCGGTAGACCAGCTGGCCCGGCCGGTCGTTGTCGTAGCCGGAGAACTGGACCCGGCGCCCGGGCAGTTGCTTCGCCGGCGGGGAGACGCCCAGCTTCATGTGGCGTCTCTTGTGGGCCTTCTTGAGCTCTAACAAGGCGTAGTCGTAGTCCATTCCAATGTCATTGCCGTTGCCCTTGATCCAGCCTTTGGGCACATGGGTGCGCTTGGCACGAATCCACTGGAACTTCATTTTATTTGGGGGTGACGGATGGGCGTTGGATGCATTGGTGGCAGAGGCGGGATTGGGAGAGTCACGCTGCTTTGGCTTCAGGAAACCCACCCGGAGCTTCTGCGCCCCTTTCACGTAGTTCTTCCCATCGTGGATGCAGTGGGCGGCGGTCAAAACGTGCCGGTCGCCCACCAGCGTTCCGGAACACCCGGTAGACAGCTTGACTGCCGCCGAGAACGGGTAGTTCAACAGGAAGTCTTGCCCTATGATGCTGAAACGCCCGTCATGGCCAAAGATCTGGCGTTTGCTTCTGGAATGGGGTGCTGGCGTGGTCTGGGGGCGGGCAGTGTACCCGTAGATCCCCACGGCGGTTTCGGTGAGGCGACCGTTGCTATGGAGCGTCTCGTATGACAGGATGCTACGCAGGTCCCAGTAGCTGGGGGGAGGAGCCTTCTTGTGGCATTCCGGGTCACATGGGGAGGTGACGTCCAATCGGGCATCAGCCTGGAAGTGGGGGGCGGGGCGGTCCTCTGTCACCTGGGGTAAGACCACGGGGACGCGCTGCAGGGGCCATTGGGGTCGGATAGAAGCCACTGGAGGAATGGAGAAGAGGAGGAGGAGGGATGAAGGAGGGGAAGGGGGGATGGGATGGAGGGAACAGAGGCCATGGAGGAGGGGGACCTAGGAGAGGGGAGAGGACCGTGAGATGTTTGTTACTAATACCTGACAGGTGAGATGTGATGTCACTAAATACTAGACAGGTGAGATGTGATGTCATAAATACGCTACACAGGTGAGATGTGATGTCATAAATACCTAGACAGGTGAGTGTGATGTCACTAAATACCTGAAAGGTGAGATGTGATGTCACATACCTAGACAGGGGCATTGTGTCACTAGAGTCAACAGGAGATGGAGACAATACGACGGTGAGATGTGATGCACACAGAAGGGAGGATGAGTCAAGAATACTAGCCATGGATGTGAAGTCACTATAGGCCAAAGTGGAGTATGTATGGAATACTGGCGGGTTGGAGTGATGTACTAAATACCTAGACAGGTGGATTGGATGTCACTAAAACCTAGACAGGTGAGATGTGATGTCACTAAATACTAGCAGGTGAGATGTGAGCTCACTAAATACCTACAGGTGAGATGTGATGTCACTAAATACCTAGACAGTGAGATGTGTGTCCTAATACTAGGACAGGTGAGAGTGATGTCACTAATGCTAGACAGGGAGATGTGATGGTCACTAAATACCTAGACAGGTGAGATGTGATGTCACTGAAATACCTAGACAGGTGAGATGTGATGTCACTAAATACTAGAAGGTGAGAGTGATGTCACTAATACCTGACAGGTGAGATGTGATGTCATAATACCTAGACAGGTGAGATGTGATGTCACTAAATACCTAGACAGGTGAGATGTGATGTCACTAAATACCTAGACAGGTGAGATGGATTCACTAAATACCTAGACAGGTGAGATTGTGATGTCACTAAATACCTAGACAGGTGAGATGTGATGTCACTAAATACCTAGACAGGTGAGATGTGATGTCACTAAATACCTAGACAGGTGAGATGTGATGTCACTAAATACCTAGACAGGTGAGATGTGATGTCACTAAATACCTAGACAGGTGAGATGTGATGTCACTAAATACCTAGACAGGTGAGATGTGATGTCATTAAATACCTAGATAGGTGAGATGTGGTGAGCTAGTAATACATCAGTGGTCTTTAAGCTGATAAAACAGTCCCTTCTCTCACTGTTACATGTGATTTAGTGTTTGTTTATATGATTATGCTATTTCTTATATTAGTCATGATCTCTATAGACACTGCAGTTCTGCTGCAGTGACCAGAGAGACTTGTAGTTCTGCTGCAGCGACCAAAGGGACCAGAGAGATCTGTAGTTCTGCTGCAGCGACCAGAGGGACCAGAGAGATTTGTAGTTCTGCTGCAGCGACCAAAGGGACCAGAGAGATCCGTAGTTCTGCTGCAGCGACCAGAGAGACCAGAGAGATCTGTAGTTCTGCTGCAGCGACCAAAGGGAACAGAGATCTGTAGTTTTGCTGCAGCGACCAAAGGGACCAGAGAGATCTGTAGTTCTGCTGCAGCGACCAGAGGGACCAGAGAGATCTGTAGTTCTGCTGCAGCGACCAGAGGGACCAGAGAGATCTGTAGTTCTGCTGCAGCGACCAAAGGACCAGAGAGATCTGTAGTTTCTGCTGCAGCGACCAAGGGACCAGAGAGATCTGTAGTTCTGCTGCAGCGACCAGAGGGACCAGAGAGATCTGTAGTTCTGCTGCAGCGACCAAAGGGACCAGAGAGATCTGTAGTTCTGCTGCAGCGACCAAAGGGACCAGAGAGATCTGTAGTTCTGCTGCAGCGACCAGAGGGACTAGAGAGATCTGTAGTTCTGCTGCAGCGACCAGAGATATATCTGTAGTTCTGCTGCAGCGACCAGAGGGACCAGAGAGATCTGTAGTTCTGCTGCAGCGACCAGAGGGACCAGAGAGGTCTGTAGTTCTGCTGCAGCGACCAAAGGGACCAGAGAGATCTGTAGTTCTGCTGCAGCGACCAAAGGGAACAGAGAGATCCGTAGTTCTGCTGCAGCGACCAAAGGGACCAGAGATATCTGTAGTTCTGCTGCAGCGACCAGAGGGACCAGAGAGATCTGTAGTTCTGCTGCAGCGACCAAGGG